AATTTGCTTTTAGCATGTCCAATCTTTGCTTGCGCTCCTTTTGTTTGTGGCACTTTACTAAATAAATATTTTTGTAAGGTTCTATTCCATTTTTTATTTCTTTTCTCGTCCTTTTTATTTCTAGCCTATAATGAGAATTTTCCAAAGTTTTGTTTCCATTTGAAGAATGTTTTTACACTTTTAAATTTAGAAAATGTAAAAATTTTTTGCATGTGGTAATTTATCATTTGCATGCTGAAAGTGATAGAAAATTGAAAATCAAATATCTGTAATTTATGTTAGTTTAGGACTTAGAAATAAGGATTTGGGTAGGGGCAATTATCATTAGTCCAAAGGTATTTTCTCCCCTACTTCTGTCAAACTGATTCTGGCAAATTAGGATCACAGGCTTTAGAGCCAAGAGGGATTTTAGAGGTCAAGTCCCATTCCCTCATTTTACAGGATGAAAAAGACTAAAGCCCAGAATGTGAAGTGACTTCCAAGGTCAGATAGGTAGTAATCAGCAGAATCAGGATTTGAAACTCTCTTCTCAGACTGCAAATTCAGTATTTTTTCCATGACCCCATGCCAGTCCAGTATTAAAACCATCCAAGCTATAAATGGTTTGTAATTGGCTCACTAGTTAGTGCTGCAGAGTGTATACTGAAGTGTTTATTGAAGTTTTACTAAGCGAAATTGTCCCAAGATTTCACAGCCTTCTAATAAGAATAAAAATGTAAACTCTGACTATGAGGACTTTTATTAGTAAGGCTGATGAGCTGTTTTTATCTACACGGAGAGTGGAGAATGGAAAAGGACAATACCAGATAATGAAATTGGCATGCTAGAAAGGAAAGCAAGAATATGAAGAGTTTCTGCAATTTTGTTTCAAGGTATTAATTTGCCACTGCCCTCTTTCAGATTACACCAGCACAGAGGTAGGTAGCTTTATAAATAAGCTGCAAACAGATTAGTGATTTAGAGGGAGTAGAGGAAACAAGAGAAGAAAATTGTCAATATTTTTTATATTAGTTATATAAAAAGGTAGTTCTTTTTTGTGTTATTGCTTTTCCTTCATCTACATTAACACGACATAATATTAGTTTTCTAAATTGGAGCCAGGAAAAACATCCGTAAGGTCTGGAAGTCCTTCCATGGCAGGGTGACCTAACCTGGAGCAGAAAAAGTACCCTGTCACTAAGACTGAAGGAAAACTCAATTTCAGTGAGATTGCACCACTGCTAGGTAACTGAAGGGAGAATGTGTATGTATATGAATCTCTGCTTCCTCTGCCCTACTTTTGGCAGGTCTATGACCCTTATTTCCTGGTGTTTCCTTTGCTTGATTAAATGAGTGGCTCTTGGGGAATTTAGTTATTTTAGTATTGGAGTAAATCTTCTGAATGGTCTTAGGACAAGGGAGAGAAAAAGAGGTCCGTATTAAATACTGCCCAGAGTCCCATATCATTTGCTGACCTGGGTATTGCTTCTATCAGTGGACAATTCATTGCCTAGGGCCTGGAAATGTTTGTTACAATAGCACTAACAGTAATTGTCCTACCTCCCCCCCCCCATTTTATTTTGTATTTCAATTAACAAGCATTTTTTCTCCCTTCTACCCCACCCCATTTAAAACAAACAAGAAAAACAAAGCCTATATAATATGAATAAATTTGTTACAACAAAACAAATTCTAACATTGACCACATCCAAAAATATGTCTCATTCTGTATCATGAATTCATCACCTTTTTCTCAGGAGACGAGTGGCATAATTCATCATTTATCACTCTGGAAACATCACTGGTCATTGCATTGATCAGAGTTCTCAAGTCTTTCAAAATTATTTTTCTCTACAATATTGGTATTGTAGAAATTATTCTCATTTCACTCTTCATTGTTTCATACAAGTCTTCCCATATTTCTCTAAACCCACTCCTTTCATCATTTCTTAAGCACATGCTAATTGTAGTTCATTGACTCATTACTATTTGATCTGTATAGATAACCAAAATCAATTTAGGTGCTACCCTAACATGCTTCCAAATGTAGTACTATTGGAATCTCAACTATTATTGTATTAATAGGATCAATTATTAATGCATCAAGCCTCCCAAAATAGAAAATGGGTTTGGAGAATGGGTGCACTATCTAAAGGCTGATTTAAGATCATAGGATTGAAAGCTGAAAAGGAAATTAGAGACCATCTAATTGTGAATGAAAGCACAGAATCTCAGTGTTGGAATGGATCTCAGATGCCATCTGTCTTAACTCATATTGAAACAAGGATCACCTTCTACAATCTACTGCAGCCTACGCCTGTGTTAGAAAACCTCCAGCCATAGGGACCCCAATTCCTTCTGGGACAGCCTATTCCACTTTTGAATAGCTCTGGTTGTTAGCTTTGTTGATGGGCAGAATTTATTCTCAGTTCTAAATTTTTCCCTTTGAGGCCAAGCAGAAAAAAGTAAATCCCTCTTCCTCATGACAGATAATTTAACAGTCATAGAGTCCCCACTAAGACTCCTATTCTTCAGGTTCTTACAATCAATCCTTAAATGGCATCATCTTGAGGCTATTCACCATACTGCTCTCCCCTGTGAAATAAACTCTGTCATGGACATAAATAAATAAATTATGAGGTAATGTGAAAAGAGACAAAGCAGAAATAACTAGGGAAACACTGGGGAAATCAACAGGTCTTCACCTTTACCTTCTGATGGGCAGGTTTTCTCTATAGGTTTATGATCTATGGCATGTACTAAGAAGATTAATAACAGTTCTGGGCTCAGAGCCAGAATATTTTAAGTTCAAATCCTGGTTTTGCCACTTAACTGACTTTAGGCAAGTCACATCACTTAAAATAGTGGAAAGAATCGTAGCCATAAGACATGTGTTCAAATTCCAACAGTGCTTGGATAAGAAATATGCTTGGATAAATCAGTCTAGCTTCCACCCAGCTGTCAAAGTGATCTTCCTAAAGGGTGGGTCTGTTCATGCTACCTCCATACTTAATTAAATCCAGTGGCTTCCTATCACCTCATGAAGTCCTTTGCTTGGCACCTAAAGCTCTTTACAACCAGCCCTTTCTCACCTTCCCAGTCTTTTTACATTTTATTCCTGTCCATAAAACTGCATGGTTCTACTTGCTGTTACTTTTACACTCAATACCTCTTCTCCCATTTTTTTTACCTTTGCACTGGCTGTTTCCATCCCTGGAATGTTTACCCTCCTCAACTCAGCAACTCAGAATCCCTGGCTTCCCCCAAGGCATAATTTAAACACCATACTCCGCAGGAAGACACCCCTGGTATCCCCAGGCAGACTAGTGGCAGCATGGATAGAGAACTGGGCCTGGAGTCAGGAAGACCTGAGTTCAAATTTGACCTCAAATACTAACTGGGTGACCTTGAGCAAGTCACTTCACCTCAGCCTGTCTCAGTTTTCTCAACTGTAAAATGACCATAATGGCACCTACCCCACACGGTTGTTAGGAGGATCAAATGAGGATAGTATCTGTAAAGTGCCTAACATATAGGGAGTGCTTAATAAATGCTCATTCCCTTCCCAGCTGTTAGAGATTCCCTCCTAAGGTTACTGTCCATCTATTCTGCAATTATCTTCTATCTTGGAATGTTGTTTCCCTCATTAGAAATGAAACTCCTTGATGCCAGAGACAATTTTTACCTTTATCTGTATTCTCCAAGACCTTAGCATAGTGTCTCACTCATAGTAAATACCTGGAAGAAGGCTTGTAGGTCATTTCATTCTCCCCTTCAATCCATTTTACAAAGGCAGAAACTGATGCCCAGAGAAACTACTTCACAGAGACAGAAACAGGAACCTTAGCCCTCTGACTCCAAACCAGGTGTTATTTCTGCTTCTAAAGTACAGCTCTCCTCAGTTTCCTAGGACTGTAAGTGTAGGGCTAGAAGGGAACTCAGTGGCCATTTTTCAGATAAGGAAACTGGGGACCAGGAAATTTAAGCGACTTGCCCAAGGTCATATACGTAGTAAGCATCAGAGGAAAGATCTCAGTCCAAGTCCTCTGACTCCAAAGCCAGAGTTCTTTCCATTGTACCATACTACACCGCCCCTTCCCCCATACCTCATTTGGAACTTGAACAGTTGGACTAGATAGGGGTTCTTAACCTTTTTTTGTATGTTATGAACCCCTCTGACAGTCTGTTGAAACCTATACACCCCATACTCAGAATATTGTTTTTAAATAATTGAAGGAAATGCTAAATATCAGAAGTTAGTGAAAATAATGATGTATTTTTTTCCCTATTCAAGTTCAAAGACCTCCTGAATCCATCCCAAGGGGACCCTAGATTCCAGGTTAAGAATCCTTGAACTAGATGAATGATCACTAAAGTGCTTTCCAGCCAGGGATCCTCTCAGCCCATTGCTACATTTTCAGTGTAAACATTTACACCTTGTAAATCTGAAAACACAGATCTTGCTTTCTTGATTGTCTAGACTTAAAATGAAGGAGAAAATGTCAATAATATTAAACTTAAATAAAATTAAACTTAAGAGTGCGTCCGGTGTACATCTACGCCCCCCCCCCAGCCGGGTGTTGAACATTTATCAATATGCTCCTGCTTTCAGCTTTAAGTCTTGACCATAGGTTCCAGGCTGTTTCCCTTGTCTGTAAAATCGGAATTTTTGCAGCTCCAGGCAGTCTTCCTGGAAAGCTGTCAGTTCTCTCTTCCTCCCTGTTTCACTCCTTTCAACACCGCGACCGTGCAAACCCATTCCCACTACGGGGCAGGTTCGCCATCCGGGGCTCGGCTGATCAGCAGTGGGGTCGAGCTAGCTTGGAGACGACGCTCCTAGCTCCAAGGTCCGGAACAGACCGCCGCGGAGCACCGCGACTGAGTGAAACTGCTGACGGAGGACGGAGGATGCGCAGTTGGGAGCCTTTAACAGAAAAGAGAGACTGAAGGCAGACCGATCGAACATTCGACGCTCGACTACAGGGCTGATCGATGTCCTCTGGCTTCGCTGTGGGCGGAAGTGAAGAGCTTCGCGGAAGCCACAGAAGGGGAGGCGGCTGCTGTGGCTGTGGCGGCGGCGGCGGCGGCGCAGGTATCAACCAGAACGGGGTCAGATCGGGACCTGGGATGGGACCTGCGCCTCGGTCTGGGCGGGGGGCACCGTAGGGCAGCTGCGGGATGGAGGGAGGCCGCAGCGGGTGGCCGGTCTGGTCCTAGGCCCGAAGGAGCGCTGGAGGCGACGAAGGGAAAGGAAAAGGCGTCCGAGGCTTGGTCTTCCCTGCCCTGCTAGACTGTGAGGAGACTGGCCGGCGTCTGAGCCCTCTCAGGAAGCGGCGGAGGGATCGCTGGATATGGACCGCAAAGTCCTGGGTTCAAATTTTGACTGGCATGTCTTTCCTTGTGTGATTTTAGACTTGTCACTTCGCCTGTAGGGGCCCCAGTTTCCTCTTCTATAAAATGGCGGGGGTGGAGGTCTCCCTTTGAGGTCCCTTCTTGAGCTAAGTCTGTGATCTCCCCCCCCCATTCACTTGGGGGGCGGGGGATTGGAGGTATCCGCAGCTGTCTCTTCCTGCACCCTCTAGACACGCCTCCTTCTTACCTGAGCTGGGGTGGGTGTCCTGGCCGCTCCGGAGCTTGGTTGTGGTTGGTTTGTGACCACAAACACACCCCCTTCTGCTGGCAGTTCCTCCCCCTGCCCTCGCCCCTAGTGTGAGATTGTCATCACGGTGGCTGTTTCCTTGAAGGGCTGACTTTGATTTCTCTAACTGTGCAAGAAGCTGAACCTGAGTAGTGACTGGCGCCTTCGTAGGCTCAAGCCCTTTGAGAAATAACATCTGAAAAAAAACAAAAAACAAAACCTTTGTTTGCTTTGATTGGCATCTAATATAAAAGCAAATCACTTAGTTTCTTGATCTAACCCCTCAAAGACAGAAAATTCTTAACCTGTTCTACCTCAGCTCTTACAGTGTTCTCTGTGAGATGTGCTTTCCTGATATCTAGAGTTTATTCTTGAAGACTTACTCTTTAAATGGCCAACAAGTAATTTACATATTTTTGCAGAAATCAACCTGATATTTTGGAAATTTTACATTATGTGAAAGACCTTTTAGTACATGAGTAAACTTACAAAGAATTTAATTTTTTTTTCGCAGTGATGATGATGAGCACCTTAACACTATATGTTGCACCACACTGAAAGTTCAGTACTGATAGTTGCGTGTGGTTTGTCCTTCTCAAAAAGGGCCATGACTTAAGGAAGATGATGCCATCCATGACTTGTAAGTGAGTTGGATTTGAGTGAGGGAGGGCTGTGCAAAGTCACCAAGCCTCACTTTCTCTTCCAGAGCCACCTGGGTCCAGTGGCCAGATACAGATCAGGACAGCTGGAGATGGCCCAGGATGTAGTGAGGGACCTTGGCCTTTTCAAGCTAAGGCCTTTCTGAATTCTCACTTTGACTGAGGCAACATCCATTCAGTGATTAAAGATCAACCTCTGCAAAGATGTGTATTGGTTATGTGTATTGTTAGTTTACACAGAACTTTTCTCATAATAATCCTGTGAGATAGGTAGTACAAGTATTATTAATCCCAGTTTTACAGCAGAGTAAATTGAGACTCAGAGACTTGTTCACAATCATATAGTTAGTAAATGGTGGATCTGGTAGGAACTTGGGTTCTTTAGTGCAGTGTTTTTTCCACTGCACCGGAAATTATGGGGATAGATTTGTGATAAGTGACTTTTTATGGCAAAAGAACTAGAAGCCTTCTAGCTCTCAGAGATAGTAATAGGTGAATCCAAAACTCTCTGTGTACCTTCTTGGGTGAGAAGTTTCAAATTTGAATAAGTAGAATTTTAATCAAATGACTGAAAGGAAGCAGAAGATGCTCTGCCACTCCCGTTAACTCCTAAACATTTCTGCAATAGAATTTTAATATTAAGGATTTTCTTTCCTAAATGAAATGCATTTAGAACTATTGTCTTAGAAGTTGATTTCATAATACTTTTTGAATTGCATTTGAGTACATGAAACAAGTTTAGGATGCAGGAGGCAATGGGGAATGTAATTGATATTCAGTAAATTGAGTTGGAAAGGCATATAGTTGTCAAGTGAAGGTAATCACTGAAGGAGGTTTCAGTATAGGTATTAAATTAAATAATTTCATTCAGTAGAAGTGTGTTGCCCTTGAGAGAAATGCTGTTCCTTTTACTTCAGAGTCAGAGAGAGAAGATAAAGGTAACCAGATCCAACCAGAGTATCCAGAATTGATTTTCTAAATGAAAACATCATTAATTTATATGTTGGGATCCAGGGAGGGTTTGAGAGAGGAGGGAGTAGGATATAACTACATGGAATGAATGTTCTATTGCCATTAATTAACACTAGAGGAATTGTTGGGAATACTCAACTACTTAACACCATATCCCTTTCTCTTCCATTTATCCTTCCTTTATTCTTCTATTCCCTGCTCTTTTCCTCACCTATTTATTCTTCCTCTCCTATCTTTTCCCTCTTTCTCTCTTTGAGTCAATCAAAAATATTGTTTTAATACAGGTTTTATATATATACATATATATATATATATATATATATAAAATATATCTCACATTTTTGCAGGAGGCTTTTCCTGATCCCTGCAGTTGTCAGTACCTTCCTCCTAGATTATCTTTCTGCTGTGTATATATTTTGTATGCGTTTACATATATGTATATTGTCTCCCTTATTAAAGTGGCTCAGGTCTTTGCCTTTCTTTGTATCTCCATAGCTTAGCATAGTAAAAGGCACACAGTATGTGCTTAATAATTGCTTTAAGACTGATTTTATAGCACTTTAAAATTTACCAAGTATTTTACTTATAGCTGCCAGGTGAAATAGTGGCAATGGTGGTGTATTTGAAATAACTTTGAAGGAAGGTTCCTGTTTATTGGTTAGATAATAATTAAAAATTCCTCAGTGGTGGTGCTGCCTACAAATGCAGTGAATTAAAAAAATCAGAGATCTCTATGACAGAGACTTGATCTGTATCTTAAAGAATGGGTAGTATTTGGATAATTGGATGGGTAGAAAGTGAGGACTTTGCAGGGACAGATAACATGAGCAAAGGCCTGGAAAGAGGAATAAGCATAAACTCATTGGGAGATAGTATGATGTACCTTTTAAGGTTGATTAGGTAGAATAGGGTCAGAAAATATGGCAAAAGTCAGTCAAAGGAGTTAGAACTTAATTTGATAGACAGTAAAGAATTCTTGTAGATTGGAAGTGTTCTGGATGTGTTAAGCCTTCCAGCAATGCCTGTTGTTTACTTCTCAAGATTAAAAGAGGTTACAGATTATGGATTTCTATAGTTCAGATTGTTTTTTTAAATGTATTTTGTTTTTGAGCTCTATGATTGACTGTCTTCTATTGTGTGATATTTCTTTATACTGTTAGGTAGCTGAATTTCATAACATTAACAGTGTGTTAAATAACTTTCTAGGAATTCTGTTTTTCTTGAAAACTAAGGACCCTGGATTACTTTGTCCTGGTTTTAAATCAGATATGCAATGATAGCTCTATGTGGCCGAGGTAATATTTTGCTACAATAGTATTTCACTGATACAGAACACAGCTGAGAATCAAGAAGGGGGAGAAAAGGCCTCTAAACCTCAAAATTAATGCTACATAGTCTGCACTAAAATTCCCTTTACTAAAATGTATTCCTAGAGAGCTACTGGTAGTCCTTGTTATTTCTTAATTCTTACTTTACATGAAGTTTTAATGTGCCTAGTTATCCGTTTAGAACTAACAAATTAGAAATGGGCACAGAGGACAGACAAAAATGACAGTTGCATGGAGAAGTGACAATTTAAAGAAGACAGAAAATGAAAACAGACAAAAACTCACAGGGACAATTTAGTATAGGGACAACACTTTATGCTTTCAAATGCCTCAGTAGTTTCTGAAAGAATCACACCATCTTGCAACGTGGTATAATACTTGATTTTTGTAAACATAATCATTAGCAGAGAAGAGGTTTAATATACTTTACTTAAGAAAGAGAAACATTATACATTTTATTTTTAAAATGTTAGTGATGCCTTTTGTTTTTTAAACCAGTAGTTTGCTGTTAGGCACCACTTTCCCCTTAGTGTAACTCTCCCTTATAACAAAAACAGTTAGACAGATTGTATGCACCCTTTCTGTGGGCTTCCACCTTTTTCTTGAGAAAACGGAAACATATTTCATTATCCATTCTCCAGGAAAACGATTGGTCATTACAGTTAATTTGAATTTGACTGCCAGGGTCCTTAAAAAATTCTCAAGTTTCTCTGAATTCCTTATGTTCATAGTTTCTTGAAATTCAGTAGTAATCTATTGCATTCATATGCCACTGTTTGTTCATTAATTTCCCCCATTTGGTGGGCACCTACTTTGTTCAGGTTTTTTTTTTTGTTTTGTTTTGTTACTAGAAAAATATTACTCTGAGTATTTTGGCATATGGGAGGCTTTCCTTTTTATCTTTGACTTCCTTGGGGTCTAGAGATATCACTGAATCAGAGAGTAATGCATCGGTTTTACAAAGATTTCTATCCTTTATAATTAAAAGAAGGCATTTTGCTATGTATGTGGATAAACTTCCAGAAAGAATAGTCTATACTTTGTCTCACCACCTAGGTATCCTTGAACCCATTGCTGTCTGACTTCTGTCCTTAGGCTGTACTGCAGAGGTATCAAAATGTAATTGAAACATGTTTAACAAAGCAAATAAAAATAGAGTATAACATAGAAAATATTAATTTGTGGTTTTCTAAGTTGGTATGTGGCCAGCAGGGATCAATTTTTGTTGACACCATTGCTGTACTAAGACACTGTTCCCCTCCTCCCCTTCCAACTCTTTTCCTTACCCCCTACCTTCCACCCCCAGGTCGTTATTGATTTGCTTATGGCCAAATCCATTGACTTTTTTTTATCTTACATTCTCCTTGATTCCTTAGCAACATTTGATACTGTTGACTACCCTTCACTATATCTTTTCTTGGATTTTTTTGATAATGTATTCTCATTCTCTTTATCTTTTTGAGCCCTCTTTCTCTAGTCTGCTGATTGTAATTATATTTCCAATTCTCTGTCCTAAGCCTCACTCTGTGATTATATTTGATGAAATACGGTGATCATATTTACTCCGGTGAACTGTTATCACCTCTGTATGTATCACATCTTAATGCCAGATAGATAAAGATATTGTGCCACCATCTTAAACTAAACATATCCAAATGAGTCTTTTTCTAGAAATCTTCAAAATCTTCCTTCTTTGTAATTATTTTTATTGATGGTACCATTGTTCTTCCAGTCATCTAGACTTAAAACCTCAGAGACAACAACATTGCTTGAAATGCTGAAACTTATTGATCACTTCCCTATGTATAAAAGAATCAGTGATCATCTTTCACTTGATGGTTATTGATATTCTTATCTTTTAGATTTTGACCTGAAAAACACAGAACAAATGTCAGCGCTTCAGAACTGGAAGGGACCATGATGATAATTTAATCTAGAACATACCTAAACAGGAATTACCTTCATAATATTCTTAACAAGCAGTCATTCAACTTCCATGTGAAAATATCCATAGCATGCTATCTTCAGAGATAGCCAGTTCCATTTTTGAATAGCGATAATTGTTAAAGAGTTTTTATATGTGCATTTTTCCTATAGACATATGAGGCGATGGGTTTTATTGCTGGCTTCCTTCTTGGATATAATTTCATATGAATTACTAGCCTTCTCCTGCTATTTTTCTTATAATGTTACTGTTGTAGCAGTAATGTTCTTTCTTCCAGAAGTATTTCGAGAACTTTGCAACATCTTCCTGACTCAGTGACTTCTGTTTCTCATATTGGCCACCTCTTCTATTTCATGGGAATTTTGCCCATTCTTAGAGATCTCCTCATTTTAAATGAGGAATTCTCTGAATTCTTCCCTCAACCCAAACCTTGCAATGCCAGAAGAACCCAACTCTTACATTTTGTTAATATTGAAGACGTGTTTTCTAGGCTGAAAATGCCTAAGGTTCAGATCTTCTGTTCCATAAAATAATTTAGTTATCAATTTCATTTAATCCATATTTTAAATTTTGTACTTCTCATTTACTTAAAATGAGGGATACCTATGTTATCATTTTTTAATTTACCTTTAACCCTGAGGCCTCCCCCATCAATTGATCAGGTCCTATAAATTTATCCTATTGGTCCCCTCCTTTCCTCTCCCACAGTTACCTGTCCTAGTTCAGGACTTCATTA